ACATAGACATTTTATGAGTGCTCATTTTATTAACTAATATAAATAAGTGCTCTGTACACCCATAGTCTTCACAGGGGTGATACAAGATTACAACAGGTAGAGAACCTTGAGAGCGATGAAGGATAGGCTTCCCCGTGTGGGGTTCGCGGAACATTTGGGGCGGTAGGTGTGGGGGGGGGGTGCTGAGAATAGACCGACTGCACCCTGACAGGCATGTCTGAGAGGCAACTAATTAGGGATTTGTTGAAATCAAATGTACTGGTCCAAAATATTGAATTCTAGTTGTAAACCTCAATTTTCATGAAGAGCCAATAGTGTTTCACATTGTTCACTTAGCAGTGATGTCAACGTTTGCCTGATATGAAGACAATTTACCAGAGAAGAAATACAAGTTATAAAACTATATGTTTGCATACTGTTGATATTTACGATGGTTTGTTTGTGTGCTATGTCTCATCCGTTTCAATTGTTTGTTGTTTAGGTAAACCCCATGGCGTGTAGAGGCCTATTGCCAGTTTCCATAAAATGACACAGCTGCTAATTTCCATAGAAAGAGACTTGCTAGTTTCCACAAAAAGACACAGCTGTCCTTTTCAAAGCTCAGACATGGACCTTGCATATGATGCTAAAAGTATATCTGTACAGACCAATCGTTACTCGAGGATCCGTCCTGATGTAGCGGCTAGATGCTCGTCTGCAGATCCGAAGGTTGTGGATTCAGATTCGAACAGAGTCGGACATTTGTTTCAAAATTTAGTTCGGCTGCCTGGTCGATCTAGCCTTAAACAGTTACCAGGTAAACTTTAACGAGGTAAAATCGGCACTCGGCATCATGCAGGCCGATTTCGACTGCCTGGTCGATCTAGCCTTAAACAGTTACCAGGTAAACGTTAACGAGGTAAAATCGGCCTGCATGATGCCGAGTGCCGATTGATCTATAAAATATAGGTCACTCACTCTGACAGATTCTGGTGGCGCTGTCGCTATTGTAGTACTCGTCGTAGCGTGCGAACAGACTCGTTCTTTGCCAGTTGTGAAATGCCAACTAAGAAAGTTGTGATGATGATGATGATGTTTTACTGGGTCTTCGGTGTCAAACTGAAGCATGTGATTTTTTTTCGATAAGCCGACGAGCTGGGAGACCGTTGTCTAATACAACAACTATTTTCCCCCAGCAATGTTACAACTGGTTGTTAACAACGAGCGCTGAACTTGGAGGATTTGATGCCGACAGAATATCTGTCGTCTATGAAGTGGACGAGAGCTACTTTGTCCACCGCAAGTACCAGCGTGGTCGCATTCGCCATGGTCAATAGGTCGTCAGGTTAGTAGAGCGGCACACCTGTCTTGCTGGTTCGAAACTGTCCCGAGGCGAGATCATGTTTTGCCTGCTCCGGAAGTTGTAACTGACGCTTGGTGAGGCTTCACCAAGGTTGGCAAATG